TTTTTAAAAAAGTACACAAGAACAGTTGTTTACCATCAATCTCCTATTCTGTGAATACAAAGCAAAATTTCTCTAAATTAAAAATAATTTTAGACATTTGAAAGAATCCCTATCCTAAAATAAAACTGTAGCTGAATTGATGTTTATCTGGTTATTGTCTATCAGGTTCCCATTTTGGATTAGAGAAAACCACTAATGGAAAATACAATTCTTTTATTTATTCCATGTCACATTATACCAACATGGATATGCCATATTCAAATTTATCTTTTTTTTTGTTTTCTAAATTTTATTTATTTTGTTGTGGTTTGGAATATACACAGCAAAGCATTTCCTACATGTGAAATTTAATGATGGTGATCACGGTCTTCACGTCATAATTATCACCCTCCAGTTCTCTCATTTTACATAGGGAAAGTACTCAGAATAAATCACACAGAAAAACTAGTTCTATATTATTATTGTGTTTCTAGCACATTTGATACAAAGTGTTAATTAACTTCATAAATGAAATAACATTCATTTATTCCCATCCCAAAGTAACTTAAGTGTTATCTTATCCCTTCAAACATGCAAAAAAAAAAAAAAAACCCGATTATATCAAAAAGGAATGGGATATATATACTTTCAGCAAGTAGGTACCCTGTTAAAATTGGAATTGCTATTTATGGGTAGTCCTAAGAAACTTAATCCTATTGTTTCTCAGATCTCAGAAATTAGGAGCAACAAATCAGAAAGGATACTGAACATTATTAAAAACACAAATATTACACAAGTAATACACAACAGATTAAAATCAGAGGACAAACCAAGTAAACAAGACATCTGAAAATTCAGATGTTAACAGAACAAAACCAATATACCTATTATCAAGATCAAGTGAGATCAGTTCTGGACCATGAACCTTAAGGTTAGCAGTTCAAATTCACCAGGAGCTGCCTGCCCCTCAGAACCCCTATACAGGGTCGCTATGATTTCACAGCACTTAACAACAATGTATTTTACATGAAACAAAACATATGCATATATCAAGACTAAGTAATAACAAAAAATATCTTCATAAGGAACCCTGTTATGGCATTGTAGGTTAAGCACTAGATTGTTAACCGCAAAGTTGGCAGTTCAAACCAACCACAGCTGCTCCTCGGAAACGCTATACAGGGTTGCTATGAGTTGGAACCAACTCAATGGCATTAACAACACAAGAAGTACCAGACTGCTAACTGCAAGGTGATCCGTTTAAGTTCGCCAGCTGCTCCATGGGATAAAAATCTATAAAGATTTACAGTCTCGGAAACTCTATGCAGTATTTCTGTTAAGTCAGAACCAGCAAAAGGTTTTTGGTATCTACATATGGAAGGAAATTCATACATATTAAAAACACCTCCAAAGCTTCTCTTTACGTTTTCTTTTGAAGTATTATGTGGCTACCTAGAAAATTCACATTCTCTCATTTCTTACAAATACAAGTTAACTTATAAACGTCAAAAAACATAATGACTAGAAAATACACAGGATTAATTTTCTTTTCCTTACATCCTTACACAAGTAATATCTGGGCAAATTTCAGAGAAAAAGATCCCAAATTGTTTCAATTTATACTCCTAGTTGTTGTTAAACTTCCAAGTGCGTATAAGCTTTTCTTTTACCTACAGTTTTCTTATTATTTGTTGATGATGTTAGGTGCCATCGTGTCAGAATCGATTCATAGTATCCCTGGTGCACAAGAGAATGATACACAGCGTGGTCCTGTGCCAACCTTACAATCATTGCTACGCTTGAGTTCATTGCTATTGCCACTGTGCCAATTGGTATTACAGCAAATCTTTTCATTTGTAAGTTGCCCAAGAGCCCTTAAACAGATGTGTCTAACCTTATGTTCACTCTCCACAGTTAACATTTGTTCTGCAGCATTTGGAACGGTAATAAATAATGTAATGGATGTGCTTTTAGACAAAACTCTTGGTTATTTTATTATTTTTGTGGAGATAAATGAGTATAAAATTAAGCCATAAAAAGCTGCTCTCCAACAGACCTAAACTATACCCATTGCTATAGAGTTGATTCAAACTTACAGAGACATTACAGAATAGAGTAGCATTTCCCTTAGGGTTTACAAATGCAAACTGCCACATCTTTCCCTTGCAGATAGAGGAGCTGGAAGATCCGAACCATCAAGCTTTCTGTTAGCAGCCCAATGCCTAATCCACTGAGCCACCAAGGACTCCTCCAATACAGATATAAGCACATTATACTGTTACTGCAAAATTAAGAGTGTCTTGATCGCACTTTATTAGCAGATCAATTTTTTATTGTTGCTAATAAAATGGCACAGTGGATTAAGCATTTGCCTGCTAAATTCAATGTCATTTGTTCAAATCAACAAGCTGCTCAACAGGAGAAAGATGAAGCTACATGCTCCTAGAGAGATTTAGTCTCAGAAACTCTATGGATCAACAACCCATGACCTACCAGAAGTGACTGTATCTAGAGGCAGAATCAATACAAAGGCAATGAGAATAAAATGGCACACCATTACTTTCATTTACAGATTTTTAACCTTTTTTCCCTAAACCCATTAAGTAGCTACATTCTGTTACGAAGTTATATATTGGGAATCTTGCTAATTTCTTTACTTTAAAAAACTGATTGGGTTATGATTTTAATTTAGACATTAATCGTTTCTCATCTACAATAATTAGCATTTATTTAGCAAAATTTGCCTGTCGTTCCTTTGCAACTTATAACTTTTATACCTGGGAAAGGTTCAATTTCTCCAGAGACCAAGATATTCTATTCTATTGTTCTGTCCTTTCTCCCTTTTTATGTTTGTTTTTTAAAAATCCATTTGAATTCATTTTAGCTGATATAAGAGGATCTATAGTGATCTTTTTTCATGTTATTGGTCATTGTTCAAGCAATACCCTTTTCTCTTTTTTTTTTTAAAATTACATTTTTACATATAATGCAGTATGTTTACAAGTTAGTATTTTTGTCACTCAGATTAATTATGTCTGTTTTTTTCCATTGATATTTAGGTAAACATTTACAGAGCAAATCAGTTTTCCTGTCAACAATTCAGTGTTTTGTGACATTGATTACAGTCCCCACAATTTAACACTTCTTCCTACTTCCTTCTTGTATTTACCAGTTCCCTGTCTTTCTTTCCTATCCTTTCCTGCATTTTGAGCTTTATACCTGGCCAAATGCTATCTTTCTGATTTAAGGTTTTATGGTTTACCATAAAAATCTACTTGACTACAAGTGTGAAAAGTCAAAGCATACCTGTTTATCTATGAAGTCCCTGCATGGTAAAAATGGTTAATGCACTTGGCTGTTAGGTTTAAATCCACCCAGAAACATCCAGGAAAAAAAGTCCAGTGATCTAACTTCCAAATATCCTGCCACTGAAAACCCTATGGGGACATATCAGTCAATTGGCATAAAGTAGTGCGATTAAGTTATGTTCTACCATCCTAGTTTGGTGAGTAGCATCTGAGGTCTTAAAAATCTTGAAAGTGGCCATCTAAAATACAACAAGAGCAAAAGAGAAAGGAGAAAAAAACGACAAAGACTCCAAGAAAAAACTAACAGTCTACAGGAACCACAGCTTCATCAACTTACTACAAGACCAGAAGAAATTGGTTAACTTGGCATTCAGCTACCTCTAATTAGATCTACAACAGATGAACCCTGACTGGATGGGAGATAAATGTGGAACAGGATCTCAAGTTCCTTTAAAAAAAAAAAAAAAAAAGACCTACTGAACTGGTTGAGACTGGAAATCTCCCCTACATCACTGCAATAAGAACCTTTAAACAAAAGTAGCCAAAGGTCACACCTTGAAGCTACACAATAAATTGGTTCAAAAAAGAATAACCTTTTTCAGTACTGTGCTCCTTTTAAAAAAGAAAACTACCTACACAAGGCCAAACACTAAGCATTTACTTTGAAACAAAGATGAGAATCTAACAGTTCAGGGATATGAAAATAGAACAAGAATGAAAATAATGAGAATGCTCACACACTGTCAAGAATGAAGAACGTAACCAATGGCACTTAACAACTTGTGTAGAAATTGTTCAGTGGGAACCTACAATGCTGTGCAAACTGTCATCCAAAACTTTTTTTTTTTTTAAATCTCTAAAAACAGTTCTACTGTGACACACATGGGAACGTCATGAGTCAGAAATGACTCAAAGCAGAAACTGGTTTATGTATCTTTGACCAAACTTTTCAATTCTTAAGGAATTTTCTCACATTCCAATTGCTGTATTTGCCTTTTCTAGGGAACTATTCTATGACTCGAACAAGCACAAACCTGTATCCATCTCCATATTTCTCATTATTTTTTTCTCTTCTGCGTCTTTGTTTCTCACGCCGAGCCTCAATTCGTCGTTTTTCTTTTTCCTCTACTTTAGAATCAGTTTTTGCTAATAGACAAATAAAAGATCAAAAGCAAAAGTTATTCTCCATACTCTTTTTCAAACGATCAGTTCAAAAAGTACAGACATATTAAGACGGAATTGGTAATCATGACTTAATTTGCATTTACCAGAAAACTCTATATTTGACATTATCCAGAATCTGAAACACCATTTATTTGACTACAATATTGCTTCATCTATGTTTTATTTCCTTAAATTTACATATTTATCTTATCTTTGTTTTAAGCAATAATATGCATATTGTTATGCATATCATAGCTTGGAGAATGCTAAAGCTGACCCAATGTGAAAATGGAAGTTCAATGAATACTACAGACCTAGGTGTAGGGATATATACACACACACACATATATATAAAGCCCTCTTGAAATTTCTTAACATATATAAATGTTCCACCAAAAGTGGGTTGTTGTTTTTTTTTTAATAATCAGTCACACTCAGAAGGAGCTCTGGTAGTGTAGTGGTTACAAATTGGGCTGCTAACCTCAAAGTCGGCAGTTCAAAACTACCAGCTATTCCATGGGAGAAAAGAGGAGGCTTTCTGCTCCCATAAAGATTTACAGCCTTGGAAACCCTATACTGGATCACTGTGAATTGGAACCGACTCCATGGCACGCTATCACCATCAATCACACTCATAATGTTATACAACCACCACCACTATCTAATTTCAGTACTTTCTCATCACCTAAAGGGAAATACCATACTTATTATGCAGATACTTTCTCATTTCCCTTTCCACAGCCCCAAGCAACCACTAAAACTTTTTACTATTATGAATACTACTGCTATGAACACTGTACAAATACTTGTTTCCAATTTCTGGCGATCTATACCAAGGAGCTCTGGTAGCGTAGTGGTTACAAGTCGGTCTGCGAACCTCACGGTCCACAGTTCGAAACTACGAGCTGTTCCTCGGGAGAAAGATGAGGCTTTTTGCTCCTGTAAAGATTTATAGCCTCAAAAACCCTGTGCAGGGTCGCTATGAGTCAGAACCGACTCCACTCCACAGCACATAATAACAACATACCCTGGAGTGGAATTGTTTAACTCACTGAGGAACAAACTTTGCACAGCAGGTATACCATTTTACATTCCTACTGGAAATGCATTGCCGTTGGTTGTTGTTAGTAAGTGTCGTCAAATTACTTCCATAGTGACCCTGCATAGGGATTCCAAGGAGTGGCTGGTGGGTTTGTACCGCCAACCTTGAAGTTCAAATCGACCTTGCAGAAATGTGTAAGGATTCCAATTTCTCCACTTCGTATAAGACTTGCTATTTCCCCCCGTTAATTATAACCATCCTATTAGCTGTGAAGTGATTATCTCATTGTAAGCTGGTTCTTTCATGTAAAATACATACTCTTTTCTGGATTGTTTTCAGAAAAATATCTAGAACAAAACCACAAATTCTGGGAGCTAAATGAATTTGACAATCAATATTTATTAAGTACTTGTTACATATTGGAAGTTCAAACCCACAAGCTGCTTCTTGGAAACCTTATACAAGGTCACAGAGTCAAAACCAACTCAACAGTACTTAAAAGCAATAATGTATACATATGAAATCCTGGTGTGGTGATAAGCACTGGACTGCTAACTGCCAGGTCAGCAGTTTAAAATTAACAGCTACTCTCTAAGGGGGAACAATGAGGCTTTCGGCTACTATAAAGATTTACAGCCTTGGAAACGCTGTCATGAGTTAGAATTGACTTGGTAGCAGTTGGTTATGTATACATGATATGCCCTGGTGGCATGCTGAGCTATGCACTGACTAACCAAAACACCGGCAGTTCAAATCCATCAGTCGGTCTAAGGGAGAAAGCTGTGACTCCCATAAAGATACATAGCCTCAAAAACCCTATGTCCTTAAGAGTCGCTAAGACTTGAAATCCACAACAGCAGTATGTTTAGATTTTGTTGTTCTTAATGTATACAACAAGGGAATGCGTTTCAAATTTACACAAAATCAATACATTAAAATGCAGTATCTGTGTTACTTTTCTGCATTTGGTAGTTGTTAAAAGTGCCGTAGAGTCAATTTGGAATCATAGTGACCCTGTATAGGGTTTCCAAGGAGCAGCTGATGAGTTTGAACCACTGACCTTGTGGTCCAGTGCTTTATCTCATAGCTCCACAATGGCTTACATGTAAATTTTATCAACCATTTTAAAAATTCTCACATTCACAGGTTTCCCTCAAACTCCTGACTACGGAAAATCCAATTATATTTTAACTCAATTAGGAATGGTTTAATTTCCTTTCATACACTAAAATGGAATATTTGATATTGTTTATATCCAAATAACAAAATATGGTTCTTTTCCTAGTAATTTGCTACAACTAGTTTCAAGTACAATGTTAGCAAGACCTATATTCTGAAAATGTGGCAAATATCTTTCAAAGCACCCATTCCACACTGACAGAATGAAAGCCTGACTCAGCTAAAATATTTTGCCTTGGTTCTTAGTTACACTATAGTACTCTGTATGACTCCACGTTAACTCAAGACTAAGCAGGTTTCCTGCCTTCAGCTCTAAGTCAAGATAGTTCAAAGCCCCTCTAATTTCTAACCCTTTATATAAGCCCAAGGAGCCCTGGTGATACAGTGAGTTCAGCTTAGGTTGCTAGCTAAAAGGTCAAGAGTTCAAATTTATTAGTTGTTCCACTATGGAAAAAGATGAGGCAGTCTGCCACCAGAATAGTACAGCCTCAGAAACCCTAGGCAGCAGCTCTACTCTACTCTATAGGGTCACTGAGAGCTAGAACTGACTCAGTGGCACTGGGTTTTGTAATACATGAGCCATTCCTCTTGCTCCTTGTCAGTTACTAGGCCAGTTCCTTATCAATTATCATATGGATTCCTAATTAGAACATGAAATCAGTAACAACCCTCAGAAGTCTCAGGAGCCAAGGAGATAACTTGCAGTAACAAAAGAAAACACTGCAACATTTTTTTACATATACAATTCAGACATTAATTATGTTCATTACGTTGTACAACCATTTCATTTCCAACTTTTTCCAACACCCTTAAAAAATTCACGACCCTTTTTCCCTCCCAATGATTCTTGATAATCACCAATCAATATAGTTCTCTACACATTTGCCTGTCCTAGATATTTCATGTTGTTGTTGTTGTTAAGTGCCATGGAGTCGGTTCCGCCGACTCATAGTGACCTTACACAGGGTTTCCAAGGCTGTAAATCTTTACGGGAGCAGACCGCCTCATCTTTCTCCCGCAGAACCGCTGGTAGTTTCGAACTGCTGACCTTGTGGTTCACAGCCCGATTCGTAACTACTACGCTACCAGAGCTCCTTAGATATTTCATATAAGTAAGATTTATTAATATTCATCCTTATATGATTGACTTATAAAATTCACTAAAAATGATGTTTACAAGTTTTATCATTTTGGAGCCTATATCAGAATTTCATTTCTCTTTATGGTGGAATAATATTACCCTGTATGTATGTACAACATTTTTTCATCCATTCATCTATTGACGGACATGTAAGGTTTTTTCTATCTTTTGGCTATTGTGACTAGTGCTGTAATAAGTAGGAAGCATTTGATTACTGCTATTTTAAAGTGAATTTTAAAGTCAGAAAAGTGTGAATCCTTCTAATTGTTATTATTCAGAATTAGTTATTCTTGGTCCCTTAGTATACCATAAGCATTTTACTATTAGTTTGTAAGCTTAGAACCAAGCTTGACTTAAACAACAACAACAAAAAAGTGATATTTTGGATTATGATAGGGATTGCACTGAATCTGTTTAGGAAATACTACAACCTTAAAGTAAAGTCTTCTGAATCATGAATATGGAATGTTTTATTTTATTTATGAATTTATTTAGATCCTTTAAATTTTCTTTTGCCAACATTCAGTATTTTCAGGGCATACATTGTGCACTTCTCTTGTGTTTTATCCTTTTTCGATAATACTGTTAATGAAACAATTTTCTATTTTTAAAAAAAACAGAATCTCCTTTGTCAATATTGTTATAAAGGTTAATATTTACTTGTAAACCATAATATGCTAATCATAGTAGCAGTTGATAAACTTGTGCCTAAAGTTTTTGGTTCAGTGGTACAATCCCACCCAGCCCCCTCCCCTCATGCGGAAGACAAGCAGTACATCTCATGCAGTCAGCATGCCTGTCCGTGGAGATTTACACAATGCTATGGAGCTGAACAGGTTTCAGTAGAGCACCTAGACTAAGACCTGGCAATATATTTCTGAAAATCAGCCAGAAGGATCACAGTATCTAATCCCCAATCAATCATGAATGTGGCTCAGGACTGAGCAGCATTATGTCCTCCCATTTGCATGGAGTTACCATGAATTGCTAAAAACAACAATCATGAAAAATTTCTTCCCTGGATCTTCAGAAGGTGGATCTCATGTGATGTAACAAACTCCATCAGAAATACAGTCAATACCAATAAATACAACTCCCCAAGATAAGGATTTTAATTAAAATCATATGCAAAGACTTTGAAGGCTAGTACATAAGACAAGTGCTGAGTTTGGCACACAAGTCATTCTTTAGTGATCCTTGCTCTACACCACTATACAAAAAATTGCAGTTCTGGTATGGCAATGTAGGATAAACACTGGACCTCAAAGTCAGTCTGAACTACAAAGTTATTGGTTCAAACTCACCAGCCAGCCATTCCTTGGAAACCCTATACAGGGTGGTATGAGTCATAAATAACTCTACAGCACACAACAGAAACATACAAAAAATTAACATTACCACAGCAATAAGTAAACCAGTATTCAAAATGTAGCTGAAAAATCAAAAATGTTTGGTATTATCTACAAATTAAAATACAACTGGAAAAGAGATTATTTATTACGTTCCCATGCAAGACTGATGAAGAATTGAAAGTCTTGAATTTTTCACCTGAAATTCTGTATGCTGAACCAAAAAAGTTCACAACTCTTAAATGTTTGCACTAAATTTAATTCTGCTCTGAATTTTATAATGATAGCTATTTCTTTTTTTCTAAGTAAATACAGGAAAACTATGACAGAAAAGTACTGAATAATTAGTAAAATAAAATCCTGAACAAGTACAATTATCCTTCCTTACTTACTTGGTGATTTGCTGAGGCTTTTTTCTGCAGGTTTTGTTAGCTTGGGCTTCTTAATAAAGGTTCCGCCGGGCTTATTAAAGGGCTGCATTATTTTTCTCTTTATTCCTCTTGCAGCAGCAACTGCCGCATTGGTGGGTTTGTTTTGATAGTCAATAACAATTCCAGGTCTATGAACGTTTCCAAAATCTCCCATATGCTGTAAATTTGTCAAATCAAGAAACATTAGAATATTTTCCAAGGTTAAAATAGGAATTTATAAAAAATTTACATGTTAACTTTCTACTAGTTTTCACCTGAGAATTCCCAGAATATAACTTTAATTTTACATGTCCACTCTGAATTAAGCACACTGAAAAATTCTGTATATTATTTACATAACTCAAATCCAGTGAGTAAGTATGTTCGTTTCCAGCAGAGCAAGTATGGATATTTCCTACTTTTTAAAAAACTTTTACAATTCAGTGTTGAGATCATAAACAACACATGTGCCTGTCAGAATATCACCACTTGTACAACTCTCTGACAACTCCTCTTCAGAATTCCTAATTGATGATTTCCCATGAAAAGACCTTAAAAGAATTCTTTATTTTACTAAAACCTGGTTTAAATCTAAGATACACAAAGAAGACCATATCTGTAGTTTAAAAATTAAAAAAAAAAAATCCAGAAATCAGTTAAGATTTCTCAATGCTGAAAAAGGGAACAAGAAGGCTAGATGGAACATTAGCATGAAATAGGAGAGTTAAAGCATAACCATGCATCAACTTCCAAGACACACTTCAGATTAAAGAATTGCATCTGACGTTCCATTCACATTCTTACCTATAGAAACATACTCTGACCCATCAGCCCAAGAAGCAAAAGTTTACAGATGAAGAGTCATGCAACCAAAGACTCTTTTGTGTCCCTTCATCTTCTCTTGTCATTTACCAAACCCACTATACCAAGAGACCACATGTCCACAGAAATTTATTCAGCTAACCTTCCTTTTTAGAAGATAAAGATTGAGGAGTAATCTGAAGAGAAGAATCCAATGGGAATTGTACAAGTGAAGGTTAAAAAAGAAGATCCTATCAGTTCATCTACTTCACTAACAGGAGGAACGAAAGAAAAATCCATTCAAACTAGAGTGGTGAATACAAAGTAAAGGAATACCTGTTATGCTATCCATGAAAACAAAACTGATAAAGTATCATTAAGGAAAAAAAGCCTTTGCCTGAAAAAATATACAGTATGGAAATGTTTTCCAAATTTTAAACTGGGATGGGTTCTCAATATCTAAATCCAAAGTCTTGCCCCAATAAATTTTTATATGCCTACAATCATAAGAGTATGGTGGAAAGCAACACGTCAGTTGCTTACATTTGTGTACATGCTATGAAACACCTATCTAACCTAGGAGACCTTAATAAATTAATGTTTCCAGATAATATATATAGTCACATCAGAAAACTCATTAACTATCCATTAAAGGTGCAATGCATTTTACACAAGATAACTGTTAAAAATGAAAAGTTTCTATACAAGTAGAACAAACTACACTGATGTAACACAAACTAATGAACAGACAAAAACACGTGCATAGCTAATTTTTATCAGAAATATTTTCCTCTTCAAAAAAGATTGACTCACCTGACTTTTGAAAAATATTCTTACATTATAGCAAACACACACTATTCTTTTTATGATCAAACTACATAATAGTCCTACACTCTACATACACTAAGTAAAATTTCCCATTATTTTCCATGTTACCTAGAACACAGGGTATAACCTTTACACTATGTAACTTGAAATTAAATACTTGTGAACTAATCATTCAAGCAAAATATTTATGAAACATTACTTCCTAGGAAGGGTCCATAAATATGCTTATACAAGTAAAAATTTCCTTAATAATAAAGCTAGTGATTCAAGGAAAATAAAACAATCTTCCATAGGACATGTTGTAAGAAGGTGACTTAGTAAAATCAAATAGAAACAAATCATTCTACTACCTACTATACACATCAGCGTCTTTACCATGTAAACATGGTTAAACTATCCTCAACTATCACCATGTGTTTACTGTGAAATATGGAGCTTTGAAGAAATTCTACTTGCCAGTTTTGCAGCAAAGTATAAACATTTTATCATACATTGCACCTTTAACCTACTCAAAAGCTCAAAGGGTTCAGTAACCTTTTACAATAATCCAAGAACTGTCCCACCAGCAAAACTGCTAGTGTTCACAAGGAAAAATGTAACTCCTTTTAACCCCTTTTAGACCAAACCTAGTATCCACACCTTTTTAATAAGGACGATTTGGCAAAACTTCATGAACAATCATCTCATACTGCCACTTATGTTCTGAGGTGCTAGAAAACTTTTAGTCAACCTAAAAATTATGTTTATGTTTATGACTCAGATTTTACTTCAAAATACACTGGGATGAACAGTGTTTATTCTAGATAAAACCATGGTCTTGAAAGGGTTTAAAAGAGTGACTAGTGAAAAGAATCTGAAAAGATTCTGTTGTACTTACTCCTCGGCCTCGGCCTCTGCCTGTTGATGGTCCTCCAAAAGCATCATAGTTTCTGCTTCCAAACGTATTTTCAGGATAAGCAGGCGTTCCTCTCCCCCGAGAGCCTACAGGCGCAGGCTTCATATGGGGTGAAGAAAAACTGCTGTAGGAAGAGTAATTCTCTCTTCCTCTGTCCTCCATAAACCCAGGCCTCAATTTTGAACGGGAGTAAGGTGCTTCCCAGCTAGACCCGCCCTGGTTTCTACCTCCGAAAGAGTCAAGGCTATTCCGGTAGGAGCTCTCATATCGACCACCATAACTACCTCCGAAGCGGCTTTGTTCGGGTTCATTATAACCATAGCCAGATCTGTACAGATCTCGCCCACCCAGAGAAGACCTGGAGTCGTAAGACTCATAAGGTCCAAACCTGGAAAAGTTGCACAGTGAGGGAAAAAACAAAAGTAAGCTTACTAGTGTCAGACAATTCAAAAGACAAATAATCAGTTGACATTTATCAACTAAAATTCATTTATACCATACTAGTTTGCAAAGTTCTAATTTTATACACACTTTTGATTAGGGCTGGGCAGTCACGTTAACATGAGACCAGACAGAAATCTATCTGAGTCAGTTTCTAATTATGAATTGAGTTTAACAAACCTTATCTTAAAAATCTGCTTATTAGCAGCTTTTCTATTTAAGAAGAGAAAATTTGTCTAGTATATTTAAGCCCAGCCCTAGTCTTGGAAAAGGTTGCTAAAGTTCATAAGCTACTGAAACTTTCTTTGAATTCACCTCTAACATTAAAATATAAAATATTTACAATAGTTTGGCTTTCAATACACACAAAAATGAAGACTACACAGATGTAGGCTATTTGTGACACAGAATAGATCTTTTTGTATCCCAAATAATCTATATATCATAAAATTGCTTCATTGCATGTGTTAAATAATAAAAATTTGGGGAATTATCTCTGGTTACAAAATCTGACAAACTGCCAAACTCTGATCAATACCAATAATCAATCCTCAGTTACTTTTACTTATAATCAAGTAAATCTAACAAATCTATAAGGATAGACACATAAAATATATCATAAAAGTAAAATATCACCAACATATAACCTCTGCATTTAAAGTCTCAAGGCATATGACAAATAACATTTTATAAAGTCCTTCACTGAACTATTACTTCCTGACAGGAAATTATCACATAAAAATATTCCTAAAAAGGAGCATAGAGTCTCCTCATGGTTTTTATAAAACATAAAGAAAAAAAAAACAAATCTTATTTCTCACAAATCCAAAACATGAGTTACAAAACTTGTTTGATATCATAACAACAGTTTTATAAAGGTCCACCATTATACATGAAATATAAGCAAAAACTACAGGAAGTTTACGAACATTACATTTACAATGTAACAGGGCAATAACTGATATATTAAAGTATTTAATGTATTTTCTTCAATTATTTACAAATTATTAAATAGAAGGCAGTATTTATTTCTGAACCCTAGCAACCATATAAAAAGTATTCTTCTTTCCAACTATTTTCCAAAATATCTATAACATAAATGAAATTGCTAGGTTAATTTTAAGTATTCTCTACCATAAACAGAAATGGCAGTTCAAACAGAAATAAGGAAAGTAAGTATCATTCAGTTCATCATTAAGGAATCCGGTCCCTTCAACTTATTAAATACGGACAAGGATTTCAAATATCCCCTTAACTAACTAGTGTTACTTATGTATTTAAGGTTCTTTGTGCCTCTTTGTCTCAAATGTGGTCAACTCTAAAACCCTATAGATACTCAACTAAATTTTAAGGCTTACAAAGTACCAACAGTAAAATCGTATATTTAAATAAACAAAGGTATATTACTTATGGATTTAATGCAATTTCCTAGCCTAGAATTCATTTGCAGTGTGTATTACCTGCCAATCAATAACCTGGACATGATTTAAAGAAAAGAACGTTTTTATTATAAATATGCTCTTCCAATTCACTTTAAAATTAAAAAGAAACTATCTTAAATTTAAATGTCTCTTAACACTGAATGTTGTCATACTGGTTCAGTTGAACCCATTCTAGTCAAAAGCTATTTTGCTGCTTTACAGACTACCCTGTATTTAGAAATGTTCTAAAAAAAAAATTTCATTCAAAACTTCAAACAATTTTCATATCATTTGGTTAAGACATACTGACTGATTTGGTAAGAAGTTACAAGTGAAAAAAAAAAAAAAAAAAAGATTGAACACTTTCTTTTACCTAGTGTTTTACTAAAGCAATGTAATTTTGAAGTAATTTCTATATGCACTATCAAAACCTCCAAGCATTTAAGGTACCAAGTACCAAGTAGTGCAGATAAAGTACCATAACATGCCTAAGAAACACTTAAATTAAAAATAATATATTCAGAATCTTATACTTGTCTAGTTACTTGGCCAAGTATTTAAGCAATTTACCTGTTACCCCCACCACCACCACCGTGATTGTCCATGCCATATGACTGGTTTAGGTAGGAGTCCATGGATCTTTGACCTCCATAGGATCCATGGCCATAGTCACGATCCATCCCTATAAGAGTTTAAAAAGCAAACAATTAAATGATGCTTACCTCCCACTGGCACTCAACAGAATTATTTTAAAATAAATATCCTTGAATACCAGACCTCCATAAGATCCAGGGCCATAATCACGATCCATTCCTAAAAAATAAAAAAAAAGAGAGAGAGAATAAAAAGAGTGTGTAAACTTAAAATATTACCACTGTCTTCAGGAATCTGTGCATAAAACAGCTAGATATTCAAATCAATCACCTGAGATAATTTATTAATATTTATATCAAACTCACACTATATAATAAAGTAAAAACACGACTATCTACTAAAAAATCAGATAAGAACAAAACCTAAGCTCTATAATGTTGTTGTTAAGTGCCATCGAGTCGATTCTGACACATAGCAACCCTGTACAGGGTTTCTAAGGAGCTGCTGGTGAGCTTGAACCGCCAACCTTGCAGTTCAAACGGCTTTGCAGTCTGGCACATTAACCCACAATGCCACACCAGGACTCCAAGCTCTATAATTGTTATATTCAATTTAACCAATATTTATTTGACAAGGGGGTGACTATGAGTAATATAACCAAAACCAAACTATCTGTTGCCTAGTGTATTCCAATTCACAGTGACCCTACAGGACAGAACAAGACTGTCCCTTAGTGTTTCCAAGACAACAAATCTTTACAGAAGCAAACTGCCACATCTTTCTCCCAAAGAGCAGCTGGTAGATTGGAACTGTTGACCTTTCAGTTGGCAGCTGAATGCTCAGTCACTGCAAAACAAGGGCTCCTTATAGTGTTCTGTTGTTGTTAAGAATGTTGAGTCAATTCCAACTCATAGCAACCCTGCATAGGGTTTCGGAGGCTGCAAATCTTTGTGGGAGCAGGAAGCCTCATCTTTCTCCCACGAAGCAGCTGGTGGGCTCCCACTGGTCATACTCTAGAGTCACAACTCCAATGGTCATAACCTAGAGCCACGGGGCTCCCCTATAAGTATTATACATAAGATTCATACATATACATATAAGGTTGCTATGAACTAGAATAGGAATCCTGGTGTGATGAACACTGGACTGCCAACCACAAGGTCAGAGGTTCAAACCCACCAGCCACTCCACGGAAACCCTATATAGGGTCACTATGAGCTCTGGTAGCATAGTGGTTACGAATCGGGCTGTGAACCACTAGGTCAGCAGTTCGAAACTACCAGCTGTTCCACGGGAGAAAGATGAGGCTTTCTGCTCCCGTAAAGATTTACATCCTTGGAAACCCTGTACAGGTTCAGAACCAACTCCACAGCACACAACAACATGAGTCGAAATCAACTCTATGGCATTTAACAACAACATGAGTTGGTATGTGACATCTGGTGAGGCATAGGCATGGTAGGATAGACACTGAACTGCTAACAGCAAGGTCAATAGCTCAAACCTACCAGCCATGCCTTGGAAACCCTATACAGGGTCACTGTGAGTTGGAACTTACACAATGACACTTATAAAACATGAGTTGGAGTCAACTCAATAAGTAGGAAGTACAGAAAGATATAGGGAACCCCCTGGTGGTGCAGTGAAGTTTGTGCTTGGTTGTTAACCACAGGACTGGCAGTTCGAATCCACCTGTCACTCAGATGAGGCCTTCTATTTTTATAAAGACTTACAGCCTCCAAAACTCTACACAGGGTCTCTAAGTCAGAACAATTCGATGGTACACAACACAACAACAGCATCAGCAAGCAGGATATATAGAAAGAATTAAGAAAATCCCTATTTTCAAAAGCAGTCATTATTTCATAATTTCAAAAGAAACAAATTTAGCAATAATTAGTTTTTCTGCATCTAATTGCTCTTAAAATTATAAAAAAACAAAACAAAACAAAAACAGAAGCATTCATGTTCATAATAATTGAAAGGAAATTATTTCCAAAAAGGAAAATCAGATTGGGTACAATCTGTGAGACAGTGCTATAAATAATGAGGACTCAACAAATATTTAAAGCTTCAAATATTTTGAATAAAGAAAAATTAATGTGAATTCTAGTATTAAAATAAAATTTTAATACAGTAAGAGTACCATAAAGGGGGGAGAGGGGGGGAGGTAGTGCATTTTTACACAAATAATTCACAGGTTACAGGCTTTCTGCAAATCCCAGTCCCCTCATGCTTTGGTTTCCTATGTGCACTGTGCAAGTTATATACGTGTGCATGTTATTTCCATGTGTGCACTATATGCAAATATATGGTACGGTGTCTATAGAAGAATGTTTCCTATCATTCCTTAAAATACCCTCATTACCTTCCTCAAATTTTGTGAATAAATACAGTCATATACTGTGAGCTCTGGTAGCGTAGTGGTTACGAATCGGGCTGCGAACCTTAAGGTCAGCGGTTCGAAACTACCAGCTGCTCCGCGGGAGAAAGATCAGGCTTTCTACTCCCGTAAAGATTTACACCCTCGGAAACCCTGTACAGGGTCGCTATGGGTCGGAACCGACTCGACGGCACTTAACAACAACAACAATACAGAGCAAAGCACATTCTGGTAGCATAGTGCAAGATCCGTAGTTCTTATCTATTAGTCACTCCACAGAAGAGATGAGGCTTTCTGCTCCTTAAGATTTACAGCCTCAAAAATCCTAGCCAGAGTCCCTATGACTCGGAACCGATTCAGTGGCACACAACCACCACCATACAGAACAGATATCTTAAGTTCTACTTAATAAATGTCAAATCTCACCTATGGTCATTAAATCCTTCCAATCCTAATTAAAATAATGATACCTACTTTTAAGTGTCTGTAGCTTTTATAGTGTTTATGATGACTTTCATTACCTATTTGTGGTCTCATCTTAAGCTCACTGTCAGAATTTCATATTCTCAATTATTTCATATACTCTATAGAGCAGCAGTTCTCAAGAACGGGTCTACTGGCTCCTGGGGATAGCCAAGACCCTTTTCAGGGGGCCTGCGAGGTCAAACCTATTTTCATAAATAATAAAAATGCAACCTTTTCCTATGTCCTGGTTAAACAGTTGTTGTTGTTGTTATGTGCCGTGGAGTCGGTTTCTACTCATAGCGACCCTGTTTTATTATTTTTTTAATTTAATCGTGTTCCTCGAGAACACATATTTTTTCCTATTCTACACAGTGACATGGGAGTATAAATAAAGCAATTCCACTGTCCTGGTGTGGCACTGTGGGATAAAGAACCAGACCACAAGGTCAATTTGAACCACAAGGTTGGCAACTCAAACTCACCCTATACAGGGTTGCTATGAGCTGAAACTGACTCAAAGGCACTGAACAACTGTCCTGGTATGGCTCTGTAGGATAAACAATGGACTGCTTACACAACTGGAGGTTCAAAGCCATCAATCACTCCTTGGAAACCCTATACAGGGTTCACTACGAGTTGTAACCTACTCAACTGTACTTAACAACAACTGTTTAATAGTTTAATAGTTGCCTCCTGGAAAGTCTTTGTCTGAGTGTATGGATTGTGAATTAACTATTTTTTACAGCAGAGTCCAGGTGTGGTGCTGCAGAGCAATGCACTGAACCACATCACATGGACAGTTTGATCTGCAAGATCAGCAGTTCAAGCCTACCAGCTGCTCCTCGGAAACTCTATGTAAGGGTCAGAACCAACTCAACAGCACGAACAACCACAACTTTTTGTAAGAAACACTATTTTTACTAGAAATATAGATGAACAGATAAACTATGATTTTCAGAACTGGGTATTTAGCAGACATTTTCTAAAAATAACAAACTGAATCTGTCACTTCAAGGAAAGCAACTGATATCCTTTATTGCCAGTGATAAAATTTGAACTTTCAAGAGAAAATTAGAATTTTGGAAAAACCTGCTCCTACCATCTTGAGCTTGACATACTCCCAATACTAAAAAATTCTTATTTTGTCATACAAGACCTCAAACCTAGTGACCATTTCAAACTTACAACACATAACAAATTTGACTAGTATAGTAACATTCCAAATGCTCAATAGCACATGTGGCTAGTAGCTTACCATACTGGACAACACAGTTTTAGACTAATAAAATGGCCATTTATTTGTCTTCAGAGTTAGTGATTATAAAATTTAATTTATACACATATCTGCAATGCAAAATACAATTTCAAACACACACAAAAACAGTGGTATTCCTGTAAGGTCTCACATTAAACAATCTTAAAGTTGGGCTCAGTCAAGTAAACAGATAAAATAAAATTCTTATATTTTGTTATTGTTTTTTTCTCAGTAGGTGCTATTTAGAGTTACCAGTGTGGCTGCCTTTACACTATTTTAGTTTTTCAATTCAGTGTTACTGTTTTGCTTTAATTTCATCACAAAGTCATAAAATTATTAATATTGATTGATTCAACTTGTACAGGTACCGTGTACCAGACAATGTGAGATAAATAAAATTTAATAAAGCTATTTTTATAACCATAATTTTAGTTTACTTTTCATAGTACTGTAATATTTATTTGATAAAAAGTAGAAGAGGGAAAGTTGTATGGAACTGTAGGATAAACACTGGACTGCTAACCACAAGGGCCATGGTTCAAATCCACCAGCCACTCAGAAACTCTATAGAGTCGCTATAAGCCGGAACCAACACAATGGAACTTAAAAAACACAACAACATATTATAGATACAGTGTAGCTATAAGGGTATGGATGTTGTAAGATAACCGCTTACATAAACAATTTTACCAAGTAATCAAAATGAATTTAAAACCAATAAAAAATAAAACTATGAAAATATTTTAACTATTACTATTAAATAAGAACTTCACTCAGAAAAAATAAAATTGATTTCCCAACGATTAAATCCAATTTCTTTAACTTTGATAAGCGCAAGAAATGCTAAAACTCATGATTAAATCACAAGGAAGGATCTGTGGCATAGTGGGTGGAAAGAATGAGTTGTGATCAAAATAATGGGCAGTGTGCCACTCTCTCCTGAATGGGACCACTTATTGCCACCTCCAAACTATTAAAGCACTTAAGAATCTAGGCCACCAGCATCTCTCACCTAGGTTATTTCAAGAGCCGTCTTAGTGGTTTTCCTCCTTCTACAACTGAACCCATTCAGTCCATTTTCAAGCCAGACACCGAATTAAAAATTTAAAACCCCTTGTCAATAAGTTAAATCACAGGTAATGCTCTGTACCCTCCAGTGACCTCCCATCTCAATCCAAGTAAAACAGATCCTTGAAATAACACGGAATGCACTATACCAGTGGCTCTTTACCAAAAGGACATTCGACAATGTCTAAAAATATTGGCTATGGTAACTGGAGTCCTAGTGTGGAGCTATGGGCTAATGCGCCAGACTGCAAAGCCATTTGAACTGTAAGGTTGGTGCTTCAAGCTCACCAGCTGCTCCTCGGAAACTGTATACGGGATTGCTATGGGTAGAACCCGACCTGATGTCACGTAACAACAACCGGAGTCCTGGTGTGGCACTGTAGGATAAGCACTGGACTGCAAGGTAGGTTTGAACCACAAGGTCTGAGGTTCAAATTCACCAGCTGCTCCTTGGAAACCCTGTACAGGGTAATATGTACTGAAATTGACTTGAAGACATATAACAGACAAGGATTACTGGCATAGTGGGTCAGGGCCAGGAATGCTACTTAACATGCTACAATGCACAGGGCAGCCCCTCACAACCTAAAAATTATCCAGTACAAAATATGCCTGAAGTTGAGGAGTACTGCCCCTGTAAGAACCACAATGTCATCACATCATCTTTTAACTACATCATCTTAACTTCAGCTATACTATGTGGCCCTTGCTGTTTCTAGAATACAAGCAATACACCCACTTTTGCACCTGCTGATCCTCGTGACAGGTACTGTCACTGTTCACTCCCTCACCTCTTTCAGGTTTCACTTTCTATGGCCTCCCACAGATAAGCAAATTACCTTTGATTTTCAATACCTTCTAACTCCACCTCATAACTTTAACCTTTGATTGAAATGCTGCTCAGCAAAAATTATCTGCTCCAGTCAAGCCAGTTTTAAGTTTGTAAAAACAAACGCATTCAGCTTTACCTCCGCTCCTGCTGCTCCACTTGAAATACTCTCCCTTTTCTCCTATTCCTTGTTTACATCTTAAAAATTAATGTGAAGCAAGTAGACTTGAAATGCTGGAAATACAACTTACCTCCATGAAACTGAGGAAATCTGCACATGACATGTCTTCCAATGCCTTACACTTTCATTTCAATATTTGGAAAATACAATGCTAACAATGAAGTGGTGTCCTAGTATGGTGCTGTAAAATAAGCACTGGAGTGCTAACTGCAAAGTCAGCATTTCAAACCCATCAGCCACTCCTTAGAAACCATATATAGGGTGGCTGAGTCAGAACTGACTCTATGACACTTCAGAGCAATGAAGTATACTGTTGTAAATATGTTAACTTCATTCAGCATCTACCACACTTCTTTCATTTCCTAAAATCTTCCTCTAGATAACTGCATAGCTCGGTCTCATTTTGCGACTCCAGTTACTCTTTTAAAATTGTCACGCATACACACATACTCCTTTTGTGTTGTCCATAGTAGTCATTATCATCTTCTTTATCTTGTGTACTATTTCCTCCCACAAAACATAAACTCCATTTGATTTTTAATTCCAACTCATGGAGGCTGGTAGTTATGTACTGTGGAGTCAGTTCCGATTCATAGCGACCCTTTGTAAGGTTTCCAAGGCTATAAATCTTTATGGGAGCAGAAAGCTTCATCTTTCTCCTGCAAAACTGCTGGTAATTTCAAACTGCTGACCTTGAGGTTAGCAGCCCAACTCATAGTGAACCCATATGAGGTTTCCGAGGAGTGGCTGATGGATTTGAAATGCTGATCTTTGGCTGGATAACAGTCCCATTTTGCTCACAAATACATTCCCAGTTTTTAGAATATCTGATACATAGCAAATAAAAATATATATTTGTTATGGTATCAAATTATATCCCTGAAAATAATTTACTCATTTGTAAAATGTAGATAATAACTGAGACCCTCAGTGTAATCAAGCTGTGATCTATAACCAAAGGTGTAATCCAAGAGTATTTTTCACCACACCATTTGTCCTGAAAGATTCAAACATGAACTAGAATCCTGGTGTGGTATTGCAGAAGAATGCACCAGCCGCTCCTTGGAAACCGTATACAGAGTCACCATGAGTTGAAACCGACTTGATGGCACTTTAACAACAAAAGTATGAACTGAGGAGTCCTGGTGAAGTACTCTAAGATATGTTAGTTTGAATCACAAACTCAGAGGTTCAAATTCACCAGTTGTTCCTTAGAAACTCTATACTGTGTCACTATGAGTCAGAACCGATCCTTAACAACAAGGGTATGAACTGAAAAAAAGCTCACCAGGTCCCCAAGCTGAAAACCACTACACTTGGGACAACATTATAACATTAATGATAGAAATTTCTGAAGATGTTTTCTCACCACTGCACATTAAGAAAACAAAAACCTAGTATTAGATTCAACTCTGGTAAATTCTAGTAGAGATCACAGCCTTCTACTTTCCAAATCGGTCTCTTTGCTAATAGTACAAGTCCCACCCACCCCAACTTATAGTCCTGGATTCATTTTTATTCATTCTTTAGTTTTCTATTACTATTCAGCTTGCAGGACAACCACTGCACCGTTAACCATAAGGTCGGCAGTTCAAACTCACCAACTGCTCCTTGGAAACCCTACACAGCGTTGCTATGAGTCAGAAGTGACTCAATGACACTTAACAATAAATCTGTCTGGAAGTTCTCCTTAATTTCTTTAGGAAAAGTCTTTTTTTTATTACTACTGTTATCTCACCTCCCAAATTCAGTGTGAAATCTTTAAGCCTAATGAAGCAACTTTCTAGATAATTTTCTAGAAGTCCTGGTGTTTCGCCATGGGATAAAGTACTAGACCACAAGGTCAGCAGTTCAAATACCAGTCGCTCCTTGAAAACCCAATACAGGGTCAGCAAGGAGTCAGAACCAACTTGATAGCACTTAAAACATAACATTTATCATTCACTCAATATATATTGACTATGTCCTACAAGAAGCTCTGGTAGCATAGTGGTTATGAATTGGGCTGCGAACCTTTAAGGTAAGCTGTTTGAAAGTACCAGCTGCTCCGTGGGAGAAAGATGAGGCTTTCTGCTCCCATAAAGATTTACAGCCTCGGAAACCCTATACAGGGTAGCTATGGGTTGGAACCGACTTGACAGCACTTAACAACACATGTTGATCCATTTTTCACTCTTATCAAATGCAGTGTTTCTCTAAATTGTTAGAGATGATAAGTGGAAACTAACTGCATAGCAATTATACCTGTAAAACAGTAGCATGATTTCCTAGTACATTTCTTTAGTTTTATTTTGTGCATATATTACAAGTTTCCTCTGTACATGAGTATGCATTTTATTTTTAGTAGTCAAGATATCTAACGTCACTTCTTCAGAGTCTTCACAGAATGCTTTTTTAACCCCTTTGTTTTGTGTCACTTCTGTATTATCCTGTCCAGCAGGGACTAACTCTATATTCTGCATACATCTCATGATTTTGTCTAGTTCATGCAATTCTAACATCATGTTTTTGTAAATGAACAATCAGGCTCACATACTCCTCTAGATTAGCTCTGTGCCCACTAACCCATTTGGATGTACTGAAGTAAAGGACCTCCAGAAAGACGGGGGAGAGGGGATGTTTAGAACGCACTACAACAGAAACTATAGAACCAAACCAAGCCACTTAACCTACACTGTAACTCAGTATCAAAATCTATAATCAAGAAAAAGAACTCAGCCAGTTTCTTATAATTCATCACTCAGAATGTAATTCAGGGACTTTTACAATAAATCAATCCAAATGTAACAGATGAATAAACTAATAGACATTACTCCTAACTTTTTCAGGTGGCAAATTCCTGATACTAAATACAATATGGCAACATTAACATTGAGAAGTGATAAATCAAGACTCAAAACAATTAAATGAGAAGGTACTAGTTTTTACATTGGTATTTTATTATCACGAATACGAAGGTAAGAGTTGAAATAAATTCCCTCAACAAATTTAACAGCTAACCAGAGAAAATACTTACCATTAAAGCCCTGATAAGTATTTCTGCAAGCAGAGTGTGTATAATCTACAAATACATTTAACAGAAAAGAATTAGTGCAATATTATCAAATACTAAAACTTACATACCCATTTGTATATACACAAACACACACAAGTCTTAAATATCAACTGAATCATCTGCAGACGTGTGGTACAAAAAACTACCAATACTCCAACTGAAGAACCATTTTTTTCTTTACTTCCCCAATGGGAAATTCATCAGTCAAATTATGGTAATGTAAATGTTAGTTGACATACAGCTAAAAGAGGGGACCCAATACAAACTTATACAGTAACAGAAAGGAAAACAGATAAAATTTTGTATTAAATAATGTAAAAAGCAGAGACATGTGGGAATTGATTTTATGTAATTTATAACTTCTTCAGAGTTACTGTTTCCTAAGAAGGAAGAATGGAAGGAAGCGGGAAGAGTACATTGAGAAGATTGCAAACCAATGTCAAAAAACAAAATGTACATACACTTCTGAATGGAAAACTAATTTGCTCTGTAAACTTTTACCCAAACTACAATAAAAAATTCAAAAAAAATAAATCAATGTTTCTGTTACCACTTAATTTGTTCTCTAGAAATGGCAAGACCCTATGTGAGAAATGCACATGCATACATATCTATGTACATGTGCTGTATTTGTTCAAGATGTAGCAAAAATATTAATTCCAACTCATGGAGGCTGGTAGTTATGTACAGTGGAGTCAGTTCCGATTCATAGCGACCCTTTGTAAGGTTGTCAACCTCTGTCAAAACTAATTTAATAAATGCTAATATAAAGGAGTTAATTGTACAAATAAACACAGGGGAAGCAATTTAATACAATGGTCATTTGGATACAATAGAACCCTACCACACTATACAAGTTTATGTTTAGATGTTGTTGTTAAGTACCGTGGAGTCAGTTCTAACTCATAGTGACCATGCACAGGGTTTCCAAGGCTGTAAATCTTTACAGGAGTAGAAAGCCTCATCTTTTTGAAACTAGATGGTAGTTTCAAACTGATGACCTTGAGGTTAGCAGTCCGACTCATAACCACTGCGCTACCAGAGCTAAAATTGGTTCTGACTCAGAGACCCTATATAGAGTTTCCAAGGTACAGCTGTGTGTGAACGAACAAAACTGCAGTTCAAACTAACCTTGCAGTCCAGTGCTTATCTTACAGCACCACACCAGAACTCTGATTTACATATACTGTCAGTCAAGTTCCACTTCCTAAAAAGTGGGAGCTGGGATGGGAGGGAATATTTTTATCATTGACATTGTTTAGAATTTATCCGTGATCCTGTAGGGTTGTAGGATAAGCACTGGATTGCTAATGTAAAGGTCAATGGTTCAAAACCCTCAGCAGCTCTTCGGAAATTCTATACAAGGTCACTATGAATGGATTCAACTCCATTTCACTTAAGAACAACAAAGAGATAATAAAAGCAAACATACATTTAATTATTTTATATCAAAATGATCAGAGACCAACAAAAACACCCGTGTGTACTATTGCTAGTAGCTGAACTTCCTACTTTAACTTAAAAGTATCCACTGGGCCAGGAGGTAACTTGCAGAATGTGCCCTTTGGAGATGTAAATTATTATATATGCCTGAGTGGTTTTTGTTTGTGTGTTTTTTAAAAAGCTAAAGTGAATAGAGAGAAATACTGTTAACTGATGGTACATGGAGGGGAGTATAATTAATGTAATGAAACAAGGTATATGATTTGTTGAATGTAAAACTGATGATATGCTCTGTAAACTTTCACTCAATAAAAAAAAAAAAAAAAAAAAAAAGAGTATCCACTAGAAGATCATTCCCAGCTTGTTTCATAACATTTAAATCTGACAGTTTAATACTTTGTAGCATGAAATAAAATCAAAGAGCAAAAGGTCATTGCTTGGGTGGGGGTTGGAAGCTCACAGCTAACTGTTAAGTCGGTTATTACACATACATAGCAACCCAGTATAGGATGTCAGGTTGGTCCTACTTATATCAACCTTGTTTTGTGCAAGGTTTCAGAGGAGCGGCTGGTGGGTTTGAACCGACAACCGTGAGGTTTGCAGTCCAGTGTTTAGCCTACAGCCAACTAGCAAACTGGTTTTATTTTTAAGCCTCTGGTTACACAGGATGCAATCCAGTTTAATCATTCAAACCCATTTCCAAGTCTCTAATGCCGTCACTACGTATCATTTTACCAATTCCTATTAAAAGTTGTGCAAGCTTGTAAGGCAGGCCAAAACCAAGTTGATTTTACTTTGTGAGCCTGTGAAAATGGTTTAAAGAGTGGCGGTGAAAAACAACTAAAAGGTAAAGCTAAAAATCATTTGTTTATCAGTAAATTCAACACAGTCGGCTATATACTTGTCTGATTTTGAAGGGCATGTAGTCCTTGTTGCGCAGGAACTCAAAACAACTTAAATCCAATCCATACATTATGCACAGAAACATGTAAATGTGGTACATAAATATCCATTTGCCAGCCAGAAATATCTTGCTTTCCATCTAGCAAGACATCAGTCTATACATTTATGTTGTTAAGTGCCATCGAGTCGGTTCCGACCCATAGAGACCCTGCATAGGGTTTCCGAGCAGCGAATGGTGAGATTTAACCACCGACCTTGCAGTTTCAAACGGCTTTGGAGTCTGGCGCCACACCAGGACTATACATTCGTAAATGCCGTTTAAACTCATCCTGTTAAGTGCCATCGAGTCGATTCCGACTCATAGAGACCCTATCTATATAGGGTTTCCAAGGAGCAGCTAGTGGGTTTGAACCGCCGACCTTGCTGTTGGCAGTACAATGCCACACCAGAACTCATTGTTGTGAAGCGCCAACGAGTCAGTTTGGACTTAGCGTCCCTTGTATACAGTTTCCAAGGAGCGGCTGGTAAGTTTGAACCGCCGATCTTGAGATTCAATCCGACCTTGCGGTCTACACTAGGACTCCTTAGAGTATCATAAGATTCTCTAATGATCTTGTGGATTGATCTTGAGATTCAATCCACAGCGCCACACTAGGACTCCTTAGAGTATCATAAACGTCGCTATAGGCAAACTTTTGAAATCCAGCAAGAAATAATCAGTGGTTGAGGATTAACTAACAAAATGGAAGGCCGGAGTCGCTCTTCCGTGTGGCGAATGCGAGACGAGGTAGGAGGAGGCCTCCGAGCCCGAGACCTCGAAGCTGGTGGCAGCGGAGGGGGTCATTTCCCCGCACGGGCGCTAGGACGAGTCCCGGCCCTAAGGCCGCAGGCCTAGGACTTCTGTGCGCGTCCTTTCCCGCACTGAGGTTGGCACTGAAGTATCCGGGCCCGTTGGCGACTAGAGCCGGGAAAGCCACAAATCCGCGCGCGGAAGTTCACCAAAGAGACCAACTCGGGCACCCGGACCGCGGCGGACGAGCTAGCCACCTCAGGCCTACAGAACAAAGCCCACGCGGCCATTTTGAGACAGTTAACAGATCCCCGTCGCAGGCCAGCCCGCCTCCCGCCCCCACGGCGACCAGCGAAAGGCAGCGCGCTTACCGTCCTCGAAGTCCATGGCAAAGGTTCTAAACCGACGGCTTCGGCGGTGCTGACCTAAGCTGAGCTCTGGTAGATGCCGAGATTCTGCAAACAGCAGCCACACACAACCAGCAGAGAGACTCAAAGCAACACGACGGGGTGGAGAGCTAGACGCCAGAGAGAGGCTGGAGGGGCGGGACCGACTGGCGTTTTCTGCCGTCGTAGCGCAGCCTGCGATTGGCTGACGCGAGCAGGGGGGCGGGCCTTCACGTGGAGGCGGGAAGTTAGGTTCCTGTCATTCTTCCGGTGCTGACCCTCAGTAAACGCGGAGTAGGAAGTAAAGTAAAGGAAGCAGAAGCAAAAATTGGCAAAGGTTGTAAGAAAGCAAGAAAGTGCCAAATCATGGTAACCGGCAAGCGAGTTGCGTGCTTTGGAAGAGTTGGCCACGATCCGCTATGTTTAATGCTGGCAAAGGCGGATAAGTCTAGAGTGGTGTTGATGGTTATGTACCGTGGAGTCGATTCCGACTCGTAACGACCCTGCATAGACTTTACTGGAGCAGAACGCCTCATATTTCTCCCACAGAACTGCTGGTAGATTCGAACTGCTGATCTTTGAGATTAGCAGCCGGACTCGTAACCACTACGCTGCTAGAGTTCCTTAAATCTAGCATAGTTGGAATATTTTTCTCCTGCCCAAACTCTTAAACCACTTGCCTATCTTTCGCTTTTTATTGGATGTGTGAATAAAGCATCAGATCACAAGGTCCGTTTAAATTGCAAGGTTGACAGTTCAAACTCACCAGTCCCTTCTCGGAAACCCTATACAGGGTCGTTATGCATCAGAACCCACTCTGCGGTGGCGGCGGCACTTAACAACAACAACGATTGCTTTGTTGTTGTTCAGTGCCGTTGAGTCGGTTCTGACTCATAGCAACCCTGTGTAGGGTTTGGGAGGGTGTAAATCTTTACGGCCACTGAAAGCCTCATCTTTCTCATGGAGCATCTAATAGATTCGAACTACTGACTTTATAGTTAGCAGCCCAACTTGTAACCCATTACCTAGCAGGGATCCTAATATAACCTTAGAGCTGCTTAAACCTCAGATTTTAAAAAAATTCTAATAACCCAAATATTCAAATATTGCCAACAATGATTTGAGCACTGGATGGTTTTAAAGTAATAATAATAACACAGTTGCCAGTCTGTCAATTCTGTGTTTTGGCAACCCCAGGTGTTGCAGAGTAGGAATGAATTGTGCTTTGTATGCCAGATCTTTCTTACTAGGCACCTCTGGATGAGTTGTTGTTAAGTACCTTTGAGTAGGTTCCAACTCATAGCAACCCTGTATAGGGTTTCTAAGGAGCAGCTGGTGAGCTTGAACTGCTGACCTTGTGGTTCAAACCAACCTTAAAGTCCAGTGCACTAACCCACAGCTCCACACCAGCACCAGAACTCCAACCCCATCCTGTGTTGAACAAAGATAACCAATCATCTTTTTTTTTAGAAAATGAG